AAATTTATGTCTTCATTTCTGTAATAGTTGATATTAGATTTCCCTTTTGTAATCAAAGTGAGAACTTTCCTTACTGTGTGATATTGTCCAAGTTCCGTTGCTAAGAATGCATTGTATGAAATGGCTATCTAGTTTTTAAAAATATATCTCCACCCATGGTTATAGGTAAAAAAATTCCATTACCAATATCCCCCAAAATACATAGGAATAAACCAAACCAAAAAGATAAAATATCTCTACAATGAAAATTATGAAGCACAAAAAATATTAAAGATGACAGTAGAAATGGAAAGACCACCCACATTCATAGATTAGGAGAATTAATGTTGCTAAAATGCCAGTGACCACAGGGGTAAAATGGTCTGTGATATCCTGTCTAGAACATGGAGATACACAAAGGACATGAGAGCATTTTACTGCTGCACCAGTTAAAATGAGGCTATGTAACATTTGCTCAGTTGCCATGCATCTTCAGTTTATATACAAAAGTATGTGCACCTTTTCTGCAAATGGATACAATTTAGACCTAAAGATCTCTGATGAGCTGCAACACCAGAAATAGGAGGAAAACGACACCAGTGGGGAGTAGCTCAGCCTGGATAAGTGGTCCCATTACCTTATCAGCTGTGGTTTCTTTGCTCTCTTGTGTTCTTTGGATGTGGCTGTTGTATGTCTAGAATTGAAGGTAACTGATAACTGGTGCTGGACAGAGGAGCCTTATTTTTTATTATGGCAGCTTGCTATTTTTGCAATGTGACTGGGTTGAACACAAAGTACAGTAGTAACTGATGTCCTCTTCTTCCTGTGTGAGTGAGCAGATGATGAAATATTGATGTCAGCATCCTTGAGGATATTCAGATGAGCAACGTTTGGGTACTGCTTCTGTCTAAAATATGTTTTGTGGTCTAAAGCATCAAAGCTTGGCATCTTTCCTTCCATGGAGCTCTCCCCATTCAAACAGGACAGATTTCATAAAGTGGTAGTGGGATTGAGTCTTGCTTGCCTCCACTTGGATATCTTTGTATGAACCCAGTGGTCATGGTGTTTTGTTTTACAATAATTTTTTTTCCTGGTGTGTCTCCCCTTACCCCATTAAAAAAATAATGGTTCTTATTTGATGTTCTTGAAGACACTGAATACTTAGGATTTCCTTTCTGTATTGGCACAGTTCTATTAAGAGTGCGTTTCTTGGGGTTGGAGAGATGGCTTAGTGGTTAAGAACACTGGTTGTTCTTGCAGAAGACCCGGGTTCTAATCCCAGCACACACGGCAGCTAACAACTGTTCATAACTCCAGTCCCTAAGAACACTGGTTGTTCTTGCAGAAGACCTGGGTGCGAATCCCAGCACCCACACGGCAGCTAACAACTATCCGTAACTATGGTCCCAGGGGATCTGACAGCCTCTTCTGACCTCTGTGGGCATTGCACCACACGGGTGCACTTACCTACATGCAGGCAATACATGCATACACATAAAATAAAAAAATTTAAAAAATGCATTTCTTTACAGAAATGTCTCATACCATCCTTTGGGCCCTCTGCTAGAAAAGTAGAATCATTCTCAAATGATGCCTTTTAAATTGAATCCTCTTAGTATCGCAGATGTTGGACAATATATTGCGTATCATACCTCTGTGAAGGCAAAATATCTTGTGTCTGCTTTATGATGAGCAGTAGTGACTCTGCTTTATCAGAACTGCTCTTAATGTTACTCAGAATACTTTCTTTCCAGATGATGATTGAGAAGCTAATTAAAAAAAAAGAATGGTGCCAGGAACAACAACAGTAACAGAACTGTGCTGTTTCCTTGGATTTTTTTGTATTTTAATGGGGTGTGCTGGATAACTCTACAATGTTGATCAAATGACTGTAGATCCTGGAAAAACTGACTATAACATACTGCTATTATTGATCTTTTTGTATAAATTATAAATATAAATACATATGCATATATCATTTGAATTTCTTGAAAACTAGCTGTGCTGTCAACCTCGGAACAATATCCCAATTTACCATGTTGACTTGACATTCTACAGAAATTAACAGACGTAATGGTCTAGAACCGTTATACTTATTTTTTTTTCCATTTGTACAGGGGTAAGACACTATTACATATATAAAATTGATTACAGAAACTAATAAATAATTCTCTAAATAATGAAAAAAATGACATTAGTACCCAAACGGATATTCAAATTAAATGTAATCCTCATCAAAATTCCAACGTTATATTTCACAGAAGTAGAAAGCAATCCTAAAACTCATATGGAAGTAAAAACTACCTCTCGTAGTCAAAGAAATCTTGATCAAAAAGGACAACAGTAATGAATTTCAAAATGTACTACACTGCCACAGCATCAGGAAGTCCTCTATTTTCCAATCTGCTTCACCATCAACCCACCACCAGAAGAATGGGGAACCATGGCTCATGGTTTGGGTCTATAGCTCCAGGCTCATGGGAAGGAAACACCTTACACGTTCAGGGGCCACAGCTCCAGCTCAGTATTTGAGCTGTTTTATCCCTATCGTCCAGTTTAGAATCACATGTCATACTCATTTGTCATAGCTCTTTAACTTCTAATTTGGAACAGCTCTTCTGCCCACCTCCATAACATTTGATAATGACATTTTGAAAGGTTCAGACCAAGTGCCTTTTAGGATGTTTTACAGTGTGCATTTATCTGATTGCTCCTTTATGATTAGATTCAGATTGAATATTTTGGGCAAGAACATATCTGTTATGTGTGCTTCCCAGGAGGAGGAACATTTCAATTTGTACTATGATTGGTTGAGGTCATGAAGTTTAATCAACTAAGTTATTGTATACTATTTCTCTCTTGAAAATGTTTCCCTATTTTGTATTTAATCAGAACCTCTATGGTACTTGAAAATTCCGTAAGGTTTCTGTTCTTCAACATTTCACCCGGAACTTTTGGTGTGTGTTGATCATCATTGTCTAAATCATCATACCGTTTTCTGAATGGGGTTATATACTAATTCTTCATTCCTTATATGTTACTCTTTTATAGAGAAGTTACTTTGAGGCCCATCTGCATTGCATAGGAAATGCTGAGTAAATTCCCCACCACAGCTGAACTGACTTTGGAGAGTGTACGTATTTTCAGCCTTTGTCTTTTGCCTTAACTATATGTGTCCATCATTGTTTGATAGATTCCTTACCTTTGCATATAAGCTTACCTTGCATTTTTCCTGTACCAGATATAGAATTATCTATTTCTTCAATAAGCCTGTTTCTTTGGCAAGGAATGGTATTTAGAAACCAGTATCTGGCAATTACATGTACTCATTATTACAGGTGTGTCAAACTCAGAGCCAGTATAAAGTCATTGCAGATGGAATAAGATACATCTTAGAATTTCAGAAGGTCGTAAAAATGCATTCAGTTCTTGTCTACATCCCCAGACATCTTCAGAATTCACTTTATCTTCTGTATTTGTGCATCCTTTCCCCAATAGTGGGAACTATTCTTCCACCAATGTTAATTTACTTGCACTTTCCAGAAAGTGCATATGCTTTCTGTGTGTATGTTTTATATTATGCAGGTTTACTATTTACTTCTCTAGTATCATTACCAATAACAAATACTATGTTATGGAGTCTGAACTAAATCGTAGCATTATTAGTTTAAAATGGAGGAATCTGGTTTTTCTAGATGCCTACTGATAAGAGTATTCAGGAATGAGTCTCTGTAATTCCACATCTTGAAAAACAACAATTCCAAGTTATTCCATCTTTTGAGACACAAGGATGAAGTAATTAAGAGCATGGACATTAGGTTAGAAAGGTCAGTATCATTGTTCTGTTACTTAGTCTCTGTACTTTCTTCCTCTATGCAACTAGATTATAATGCATACATCATCTACTACTTTGAAAACTCCCCAATGTATGATAAAGTAGCAGGAAATGAAACTGATGTTTTTTTTTCTTTTACTAAAAAATATTAAACTGGATTGTCATGTATTTCCTGTCTGGCAAAAATTAAATTAAGGAAAAGTTTATGTAATAGTAATTCTAAGATGAATTAATTTTGAAAATGAAAGTAAAATATATTAAAAAGCTAAGTGCATATTATTGAGATACACAAACTTTATATTTATATGTAAAAAATACATTTATTTCCTTCCTTTACCTATTGCAATTCATTATTTGGTCAGAGACCTTGTAACAAAGTTACTTACAAATGTTGCCCAAAGTTAGTAAAAGATTAAACAAAATACCTCTGTTTCACAACCTACGTGGATTGTTAGACTAGAATCTTTCAGAAGCGGATTATATTCTATGAACTTTAATAATCTCTGTTCCAAGCACAATCTTAAATGTGGAGGGACTTTAGAGTGAATGAGTGGTTCACTCTTTCACTATCATAATATATACACAACACAGAATACATCCTTTTAACCAAGTGTAAATTCAAGTATAAAGCAGTTTCACCCTGCAGGATGAGTCTACTGTCAGCATTACTCCAAGACCCAGGAAAAGTCAGTCTGCCTTTTACTGTGGCATGATATTTGAATCATACTTTTTCTCTGGATAGATTATAATTGAATTCTTGGCTATCCTTATTAGTTCTTGAGAAAAATGTATATTGGACAACAGAATAGCAATGTTCAGCATCAGAAAATAGTTTGCCAGTGTTCTCTGATATCAAGTAGGACTACCGTGGGAAGGGGAGGGGGGTGTATTATTGCGAGCGTGTTGCTAGGAGACGGGAGACTCAAAAGCCCATGTTGTAGGGGGTTTTACTGGAAATTAAGGTAATTTAAGATTGTTTTCTCTTAGAGATTTAACCTTGAAACTCTGTCCTTTGCTGAGCATGTACATTTTACCACGTAATGTTTAGTATCAGTCGATGTTTTCTAAGGATTTGGGAGGATAATCTCGACATTTCATTTCTTTCCATTGGGCTAATCCCTTCTTCACAGCACAGCTCGTTTTCAAGTGGCTGTTGCGCTGCTGCTTTCCCCTCCCACATCTTCAGTGCGACAGCCTCAGACCTGATGGAAACAGCACGCAACTGGTAAGTACACGAAAAAGCTCTCATAGAATAGTAGTTAAGGCTTGGCTTTCTAAAGCAAGTGAAGCGTTTTTGATGGAATAGAATGATACAGAACTGTGTAAGAATTTCTCTAGTCAGTAGCACTGAGAAAATGGATTGTATCATAAATATGCTGTGAATTGCTTTCCTAGTTGAAGTGATTGCTCCTTAAATGGTGAATGAGTTGCTAGAAGGAAATACAAAACACGTATATATTCTGAATACGGCAAGATGATCCCTAAAGTAAGGTTTTTTTGGAAGATATTAAAACATTCCTGCTTTATGATGTTTGGATTAGATGTGATGAAATAGCTAAGATTCAAGGTGTTCGTGGATATGGTTTCTTTTCTCACTACACGGAGAACCTGAGGAAAATATTCTGCAGTGGAGGAAAGGGTACTGTACTCGACTTGTTTTTAAGAAGATGGTATGATGACACGTCTGTGTGGAAATTGAAATGAAGAGGGCAGCCTGTAATAAGATTGGTTGCCCCCAAGAGAGGGGAACGTGTGAATGAAAAAGACTAAAATTTGGTTGTAGGATGAAAAATCTTGCAGCAGAAATAATAAATATTGTGACTGTGCCTTCATTTGTAAAGTTGATTTGCTTTTTGCGTGCCAGTTTCTGCAGTAAAGAATGAATGTTCTCTGTGGTTCTTTCTTGAAAAGGAATGTGAGTACGTAGCAGAGATTCCTATGGACACAGCGTTTCTCTTTGCTTCTGAATATACTCAGAAATGTATTTTCTCTATTAGGCCAGTTAGTGCAAGAAAACTGGACAAGAAGTGAAGTGCTATATTTAAAAATTTCTTTGGAATTAAGATTGCTTTGACACTTGATCATGAAGGAAGAAGAAAAGAAAGATAAGCGTTTGAGTCAGATGACAGAACAGATTAGAGGGAAACAAGAATGAAAAAGCGTATTAGAAAGTCCAAAGGCAAGCCATGCCTTAAGTTGAACATGTCTGCTGGGGGTATGTTTTGCAGGGAGAAGGAGACAGGATGTTGAAGGTAGAGGGAGGAGTGTTAGCAGAGAACTGCGGCAAAGAGTGACTGACGCATCCAGGGACATGTGACCATTCTCTGGTGTAGTGAGGAAAAATTTCCAGGACTCCATCTTGTATAAGAAAGTCTATACATGCTAACATGAAAACAATGGTGTAATCATGCCACAGTGGGTCATGAGTTAGTCCTGTGTAGTCTTCCACTGGTGTTTAATATTTTCTCATTTCTAGACTTTCTTCTCTTCACTGTTACTGCTTTTATATGCTTATTAAAGCAGCTGCATAAAATGTTGGTTTCCCCTTTATTATAGAAATGCAATATTTTTCACAAAATTTGGATAAAATAAAAGGTGACTATGAAGATTATCCACAATGCCATAACCCAGACATAATTACTCGAAATCCTTTTTCTCTGAATACGTGAATACATGCATAGAAATATATATTTGATGCAAAATAAAGATTAGATGTAAAGTGTTTATTTGGCTTTATTCATTAAATAATATATTGGAAAGGATTTCTTGTATTTAAAATACCACATAGGAATGTGCTTTGGGGGTAATTTATTTTAATTATACAGGACTGCTACTAAAGTCCAATTAATGAATGTATATGTACACATTTTTGCTGTTGTAAATGATTTAAGGATTATCAGTCCACATAAATTTGTGTGCTCTTCTCTTTTACCCCCATAGGAAAAATTCATAGACATGGAATTCCTGGATCAAATGGTATGAATCAGTTTAAGGTTTTCCCCTTATCCCAAGACATATTGCTTAATTTATTTATTATGTGCTAAAAACATTGTTTTCCACTTATTGCTTATTTATCCTTTATGATGATTTTTTGTGGCATTTTGCTGCTTTGTTTTTAAATACCTACATCTGTCAGTTGATTTTTATGTTTGCTTTTTGTTTTGTTTGAATATTCTCTCATATACATAGTCACCTGTATTTGCCCTACATGCTTAATTACTTCAGTTTTTACAGTTGCCTCTTAATCTAGAGTTCATTTTAATACATGGTATAACCTAAGACTAATTTTTTTCCAAATAGGTCACCAATTATTACAGCATTACTTAATAATCCATACTACTTCCACTGATGTGAAATAACGTCTGTTTTCCCATTAGACAGGGTGTAGCTTTACACAGGTCGGCCATTTTCTTTCTGTTCAAGATGCTTACATTCCACAATAGTACTTTTACCTTCTTGCCATATCCAGCAGCCTGCTAAAACATTTATACTTTGGCCTTTTAAGAATCCTAGTTGTATAGAATTGCATACACATGCACACACACACACACACACACACACACACACACGGTCTTCATTTTTTCATAAATTAAAAATTGTGGAATCAAACTACTAAAAACACTGTTCCCAATAAGTTATTACTACTCTTGGACTCAAGTGACATTCCAGGGGTATGCTTAAAAAGAAGTACTCTAGGGGTGTTAATGCTTGTCCTAAGGTTTTTCATTCAAATCTTTTTCTACTCCTTAGGTACTTACAGTTAAACCTGTCTGAATTCAGTTCCTGGGATTTTCTTGAATGACAAAAGACAGAAAAGTAAGAAATGTGTGAGACGTAGAAATGTTGTCAACATGTTGCTGGCAGGAATGTTTTCTAGGGATTTAAAGGACGGAAGGTGAGTCTCAATACATGTTACCACTGTCACTGTCTCCTCAAGATGGAAATACCCCAATGGTCCATCTCTTTTCACTGTAAATGGAAGGGTCAAAATGTAAAACAGAGGCTTTGAGTAGATCAATTAAACATAGATCCCAGAAGTATTTGATAATTAAAAATCACCTCCTATTCTGTTCCACCCCTTCCTCCAACACAGGCCTTCTTTTTCTACTGACTTCTAATCCTGACCACTGGACTTCGCTGATTGTGGAAGGAAAAGAAAAGTAAGTGGCTGACCCCCTTGCTTGATGTTATTGCAAGGGACTCTTTAGGCTCATACACAGCCCCAGTCGTTTCCCGACTTGCTACAATAGGCTGTGATTTGTTTATAACTGCAGGCTGGTTTCCCTGGCAACAGGAGCTCACTAAGGCATGCGCGTTAGTTCTTCTGCAGTAGCAGAATGCGGCTGTGGGGACATGCAGGGAGGATCTTGCAGCCCCCCGCAGTGGCTGAAGTAGTTGTTCTGCAGACATGACATCATTTGGTCTCTGCTAAACTCCATTGCTATTGCTTAGAGTATTGCATTTCTTAAAATCCTCAGAAGGCTCTGAATGTCTCCCTTTCATTCCTTCCCCATATAACCACAGTCAATATTTTTCCAACTGTTAAACTCCGCATAGCCTCAGGGCCTAAGGAGATCCTTGGAGTGTGGTTACAGGCAACAGATGGCATGATTTCTAATCTTGACCTCTTGCCAGTGACATGATCATGGCACAATTGCTTACTGTCTGTGCCTTCATTTACTCAGATTTAAAATGGGGATAATAGTGCATGTACAAAAGTGATGCATATATGAAACATTGAAAAGTATTATTTGTAGATGTTAAAGGGGATGTGCCTGGAGCCAGACACATCCCTGCAGTGTACAACTCATCCAAATGCTCATACTGGCCAAACTATACACATATGCAGTTATCCCTGTAGTATGCAGAAACTTCTCACACAGTACACAGACCATCTACAGCACACCATACCCCCCACATTAATGTACATCACAGCAAAAATACTTACCTCTTAGCACATGGATATGTTCCATATGGCTGGACACTTCTAGAGGCACACAGATTCTCTTCAATGCAGAGACCCACATGATGAGACTTACCCACCATAAGATACTGCATAGAACACACAGAAAATCTTAATATAGTCTACCTTCACATCACATAGACCCTTTGCAGAATATAATGTATAAAGGTACAATGTACACAGCAGATTCTGCCCACAGCACACAGATAATTCACACAGATTCTCCTCATAGACCAAAATGCTCCTCACAGCAAGACCTTCCTTACACCATAATGTTCTCTTTATGATAACATAATTCTCTTCCCATGTGTTCCACTGTCTGAATGTGTAGCTGTTACACTTGCTTTGATGCACAGACTCCCCTCATGTCACATTGGTTCCTGAAAGAACACAAAGCCTTGCACCACAGTACACAGACTATTGGTACATTATGGAGAACTTTCACCACAGAACATGGACTGTCCACAACACTCCATAGAATGCAGACTGTGTCCCTGTCTGAGCAGATTGACACAGCTCAAAGCCCCTTGCCATGACACAAATGTCACACAATAGACACTGTTTGATGGAAAAAATACACAACAAAGATCATTCCAGTAGGACACACAGACTCCTCTCACACTATACACACAGTCCTCATACTATGCATGATCATCCAATGAAACACAGGCTAACCTGTGATACAGAGACACTCTCAATAGCTCTCAGCCATGCCATAGTAATAAAACGGTACAACCTGAAACACAGAGACCTTGCCTTGTTACGTAGAATTGTAATATAAGGCACAAGCTTATTCTGCAACGTACCAGTTCATCATACGACAAGCATACCACTCGATGCAAACAGTTGCCTCATAGGCACTCATTTGCCCTGCACCATCGCGTCCTAGACATGCAGTGTTACTATATAACCCACACTGTAGCCTCATGTCACCACTCTACCCCAGTTGCCTCACAAATACTTTGATAGTTACCATAATGCACAGCACGAGATCATGCGAAAACGAGGTACTACATCAGATGTGTGTTTCACAACAGATAAACTCATGCAGCAGCTCTTCATCTTTCTCAAAAGTACTCAAGCAGTCCTTTACACACCATCACAGGTGAGCCACACTGCCTTCATCCCACAACACTGGTGCCAGCTACAACATGTGAACATCTCAGAGCGCCACACTGCACTGTCACAATTCCATAGCTGCATGCATTTCCCTTACATATTCATTTCACAAAAAATCCATACTTACAGTAGTGTTACAGTGTAAACACATGCCCCAAACACATGGAGCCATTTGTTAAGGGATTCTCAGATTTACAACAAAGCACAGAGACTGGTTTCACTGATGACATTGTTATCTACAAAACAAGATACAGCCAGCCAGGTATGTACCCCCACCAAAACGCAAAGTCACTCCCACTGGTATATATGCGTATTCTAGAACACTGAAGCCCACCCAAAATGTGCAGACAAGTCATATCACAGACATTTATGATACACTCAGCCACAAGACATGTGCCTTAAGATGTATAGATACACCTGTGGATGCACAGATTTGTTCCACAATGTGCAGTATTGCATCATAACACTTACTTTACAATGCAAATACCATTTCCCACCATGTAGACATAAAATACACCTATTATGCTCCACTTTACAAAGATTTCCATTATAGAGGACAGGCATGCTTTACCACACTATTGAGCTACAATTCTAGCCTGCAGCAGAGATAAAGCTTGGCAATGATTAAGAGCAGGGTCTCTCAACCCAGGCTGCCTGGGATTGACTTCAGATCCCATCCGTTGCTAATTGTATCACCATGGGTAAGTACATACCTTTGTGCTTTAGTTCATTCATCTGTACAACAAAGATAACAATAGTAGCTACTTTGAAGGGTTATCCTGAATAAAAATAACATATTAAGCCATGTTAAGTGCTTAGTACTGTAGCTGCTATTTAGAAACTATCAGATTCATTCATTTGTATTACAGTCACCTGCCTCCTCCCACCACCACCATTACTAAAGCAAAAAGGGCTAATGTTAAATATTTAGAGTCATCTGACAATACAGATTCAGCACACCGTATAAAGACTATCCCCAGAACACCTAGAAATACTCTATTGAACATAACACACAATATTGCATACCTTACACAGTACAGACAGCATGATAAACTCGGTATCACTCACAACATAAACAGATTGCCATGAAATTGAGACATTTGCTAATAATACACATCACGGCATATACACACACCCATCTACTGACCACACACAAACTGGATATACAATATCCATCCTTACTTGATAAGACAAAAAGATTCATAATATAACATAACATAACATACATACATACATACATATACCATGAACTCAGTTATGTACCATATCACACAAGCACCCCACTACACAGATAGGTGTTACCAGAACACGTGGATTTCCCTGTTATTCACAAGCATGCTCCTAAATTTATACTCATAAGTTTAGCACATCACAGTTTAAGGTGTAGTCCCTGCACACAACACATTGACTTCTATCTCATGTTTAACCGATAAAGAACTACATACCTCACATCTCCTAGCTTGCCTATAAATCTGCCTTACCCTAAAATGCTCCTATACTTATGATCACATGCTCCATACTACACACACCAACTTCATAAGACCTGGGTACTATCCCCCAAAACAAAAATTTCCTTAAACACACAGTATCATATCACAACATCCACACAAACTCATCCCGGAACTTTTAGAATTGCTCTTAAGTATCCAGGCTTGTACAAAGCAAAGCCAAGCTTACAATTCAAAAACCTACCCCACAGTGCTCAGTCTGTCACAAAGCAAGGACTAGCCTCAGCTCACGTTGTTTCAAGCAAAATACAAACATGGCACATAAAACTTACTCTCTACAGTGCAGAGCTTGTACTAAGAGCTCCATTTGCCTAGGCTTGAATCCCTAATACACCATTACTAATCTTATGGCCTTAGAAAGGTTTCGTGACCTCTCTACACCTTTTCCTACATAAGAGCTTGGAATAATGGTACCTATGCCTTACAGCTGTTAAGAGGCATAAATGAGTTAATATCTATATAGCCTTTAGAATAATACCTGATAAAGAATCGCTGTTATTCACACGAACTGATAGTGATTTTCTTATTATTAGTATACATGGAACTGAACCATAGAAAGATTCAACCTAAAAGAACTAGAAACAACCTACCACACATACACTATCCCCCATAAAGTACAGACTCCCGTCACAAACTGTACTTTGACCGGTAAACTTATATTGACTGTACTTAGACAACATCTGGAAGCATCTAACACATAGGATCTGCAAAACATCTATATCCACCACACAACACTTAGACACACAATGCAGTCTATACACTATAGTGCACAAACACAGAAATTTATCAGAGGAAAAACTCGCTCCATTTCCACCAGATGTATCTCATAAATATTTTAAGCCTGGACTACCACACTGGCTCCACAACACAAACAACTCAGACAAAAATCTTTGAAATAATCCATAACACATATATTTCTCAAATAAAGAAGTCACTGCACACAGCAAAAGGAAACATGGCCTATCAAAGAATACAGATTCTTCTCAATACCCATGTGTACTGGTCCAGTGAAATACTGGCTTCCTTAAATAACGAGGTGCTTCATGAACACAAATGTATTGGAAACATGCATTAAATGTCTCACTGTGCACATAACATACTACACACACAGACGTTTGCTACATCGAGACATTCCTCATGTCAGTGTTAAATCACAATTACTGGTCTAACCTACATCATGTAGTACCTACACACAGCCTCTTGATACTTCATAAGGACTGACAGCTAGAACTGCAAGGAATACAGATAAACTCCTGTAGATGTTCATATGCACTCACTGGCTGAGAGGGAGGGACAGAGAATCCTTATGGGACTGTGCCCACTAAACTCTATGAAAGGACTCTTTATCCCAGATATGATTTTGTGCAAAGATGTGCATTTAGATGCCATCTAGTCTCCCACATAAATATCTAGGAAGATCATATCTAAAGCTTTAACAGTTGCACACACCAATAAAACATATATGGATTCAAGAAGAGATTTCTACATGGGTTTGCATTTGGTAACGTTTATAGAGGTTATATAGTTACATTAGAGATAAACTTGCATGTAAATATTTGAGACATAAAAATACACATACAAAAATACAAATTCATAAGTACACACAAAATGTCTACAGACAAACACAAATTCTCACAGTGACTCACTCAGAAATACAACAGGAATATGCTGTGGTACCTCGGTGTCCGGAAACAGATACAAAGGCACATAGGAGCCTGTGCACAGACACAGTTGCACCTGTATCCATATCCGGAGGTGGGCATAGCAGCTTTCACATAAGCATACAAACAGCTTTATAAACACGCGGCACACATCAGCTTACACATAGTGCCCCATAAGTGTGTACTTATAAGAGCGCAGAGAAACGCAGATACTCAAGAAGCCTGTGTATTAGTCTGTTCTCAGAGTCACAGAAACGTGTGCACCTACACTGAGAGCATATAACATGTCTTCACAGATTTACACTTAGGACGCATTTGTACATAGACATGTATAGGTACTAATGTAGATGTGCGTACATAAAGCAGAAGTCTGCACAAAGAAGATCCATCGACAGAGGCACATATTCCCTGGACATCCATAATTGCAAACCATATTTCATCCTCACTTGCCTGGAAACCATAAGATCTACACATGTGCCTAACATCGATTCAGAGTGATAAAACTATGTTAAATTGTATGTAGTCACTTTTGTCTTCAGAGACAAGCTTACAAATATATGCAGATGGTCATATGGACATCCATGAATGAAATGGATCAATACATCAACAAGCGTTGAAACACACACGTGAAACAAATGGACAAAGGAGAATGACAGGCAAGAAAATTTGTCGTGCCCACATAGCCTATGGACACCCATTTGCATTGCCAGATTAACATGGATAGCAGAACATGTCTACACAGATGCATATTCCGTCTCTTACACAAGAACTCATGTACAGATAACTGTTTGGAATACAAATATAATTACAGACATAAAATCCATAAACAGACATGTACAGAATCCTAATTGCATATATGAAGTGACAAGTATCCTTGCATGTTAATACATTAGAATATAGTCATTGCCGTGTGTACCTCTATATCAGAACGATGTACATATATTCTCTGGAGCTTACAATGAGGACCGAATTCCAAATGCACATAAAATAGAGGAATGCGCACACGGATATTCACGTGCCATCATGGGTATGTTGAGGAATGGAGGACTTGATACTACAAGCACAACTGCATGCACCCAGACAGATGAAGATTTCACATGTGGAAAGGGATATCCACCCTGTTCTGTACATGGATGTACAAATACTTTGAAAACAAAATTATGGATTTTAATGCACATTTGTTATGAGCCTCCTCAAGAGAAAATGGCTGTAATCACCCCACAGTGGACTATGTACCTTGTCAACATGGATGTGGAAATTACCAGGAACATCTCTAAAGTACCTTTAGGACTCATGATTGTGCACGCACATGCACATGTACTTCCACATGTGAAGAATCAGATATGTAATGTATGTAGGAGCATAGAAATGCCAATATATGCCAGGAAATCATGACTATCACACAGACAGGCATACACAAACACTTGTCACTCTAAACTCCAAAACCAACCCTGTATATAAAAGTCCTCCTTTGCCACAGGTTTCCTCTACCACGCTCAGGCTTGCTTCGCTTCACCAGCTCACCAGCCCTGCTTTGTCATATCTATCTTTGCAGTAGTACATGATCTGGAAAGTCATCTCTTCAGGTGCAGGCTCACCTCGTCAAATTCATTGACTCCTGCCCTGGGCAAATACCATAATAATGGTAAATGTAATACTTAAGGAAATGACATCCACAACACATGGTATTAACATGCCATACATTTCATATCCATGCCTCATAATACCCGGGCTAGTCATAGAGTATTTGAAGGGCTTTACAGTACTCAGAAAGCATGATGTGGAGGTACACTCTAGCGTGTTCAGAGATACTTCAGGAAGCAAAACTTGCAGCCAAATGAAGCAAGATACATAGGCACACCTACTCACTATTGAAATGTCGTACTTCAGTCAGTAACTATTTTAATTGAATATAAAATAAATCATTTCCCCAGTGCTCTCTCTAGTGGGCTCTGTGATGAGTCTTTATTTGCTTTGTTACCTGTTATTCTTTGCACTTACCTTTCAGAGTTCTTAGAAGACTTTGTGAAATGGAAGGCTTAGCCTTGTGCTCAGTATGTGATACATGCAGTCACTGCTGATTTCTGTTTGGTTAGATACATACTTATTATCTATATAAGATTTGTTTTTATCATCAAATGAGTTTGTCATGGTATTTGTAAATATAACAATAAAGATCAACTTATTGACAAAGAATAGATTATATTCAGAAATAAGGTAATTTCTGAAATTCTCAGAAGGCATTCGTTTGTTACTGTCCCTAGCAGAAGGGAAGTCCCCAAATATTTTTCCTGTTCTTGATACTATTACTGTCTTTAGTAACCTGTTCTTTTCTATAGGAGGACTGGGGCACAGAGTGGAATATGGAGAAAGGACTTGATGTGCAGTATGCTTTTGCCACCTATTGACCACACTGAGTAAGTACAGCATTTGTGCATCACCACAATTGTCCCCAAATATTGAATACATTGAAAAGTTGTGTAGCTTTCCTAATGAATAAGGTAGAATGCATTATATTATAGTAAATTTTTCTGCATCCTGAAATAAAACATAATTAAATGCAATTATAATTTTACTCAAATGCTCCTATCCCCATTTTCCTTTTGGATTTTACTGAGACTGTTCTTCAGCAAGTGTTCCCACTTTCTATTTTCCACCTAAATCCATTTTAAAAGTATTGTACATCACCACACATTTGCCTTCTAGTTAGCATCTGAAATTGATTAGAAGTTTAAATACGTTCAAAGTCATCATTTCTAGCATATTGTGAGTACTCACGCTTTTAAATAAAATTATTTAGTCACACTTTGTATTCAATGAAACAAAACACCATACTAACTTGATACTCAGCATTTATTTATTTAATAGAAAAAGTAACAAAATTGTCTTTAGCAGTAAGAAACTTTACCTGGTATTTCTATTGCCTTGAAATAACCATGCCACCCTACCATGTATCTTTACAGAAAGTCTATGGGGACAGAAATGAATTTTCTGTGACTCCACCTCTCTAAGTATTAAAATTTTATCATTAAAATATTACTACACATTTGATCTGAAGCCTATAAAATATTACATATTTTGGGACATAATCAGTAAAAAAAGAATTGTCTATAAATCTCTTAAGTGAATATAATTGTATTTTCTCCAAATTGGTTCACAGCTTTGAGGATTACTGTTATTTCTAATGTACCATTCCACCACCTCTTTGTTTTGTGGTACTGAGGATTGAATTTAGGACCTTGCACATACTAGGAAGCTGCTCTGCCATTGGGGTACTGCCCTACCCTAGCCCTGTAAACATTTCTTTTTTTACTGATTTGAGAAATGAAGTAGCTTTGTTCACATACGTAATTAGATTAGAATGGAATTACCAAAAACCAAATAATGACCTATCATTATTTTAAAGAAGATAGTGGGAAAAAATATTTTATACAGAAGTAGTGGTATATGCCTATAATTCCAGCACCCGGATGCCAACGGTAGGAATATTTTTAGTTGCAGACCAGCCTGGGCTACAGACTCTGGCAGTCTTTCAGAAAAGGTTTTTTAATATGTGAAAGGAGATGGTTGAATTTTTGTGAAGTAGAAGGGGATCAGCAGGAATGGAAGGAGCAAGAGAGGATAATGAGAGGGCAAATACAATTAATTTACAATAAATACATGGATGAAAATGTCATCGTGAAACCTGTGTATAACATACACACACACAAAAATGAAAGAGCCATAGAAACAAAAATCTTGAACTAAAAAAGTTTTTTGCTTTGAAGAATTTTTAATTTTTTAAAAAATTATTTAATAACAACATAATTACAAGAAGCATTTCATTACAACAGCATTGACATATTCAATAACAACTTCCAGCGCTAAGATGCATCTAGTTGAATTATTACAGTTATACAATATTGTACTCAGTACAAACCCTATAAGGCATAAAATTAAATGAGGTTTTAACCTTTAAAAAGATCTTGACTTCATTATTAAAATACAGTTTCATACAGAAAAATTCATTTTTAATGTAATTAACGCTAAGATGTTTGCACATGTGTTTCTAATCTCTATATCTCTCATTATTATTAGCCACCGTCAGTTACTTTCTGAGCTCCTTGACACCTGAGCATGGATATAAAGTCATCAGGTAGATTTCAATGGTAATGTTTTTCACATCTACTACTTATTGAGGAGCAAATATACACCCATTTCTCAGGTAGCAACTTCCCATAGCCTCCCTCCCCCCACTAGAGCCCTTATACTGTGATATCCCTGCTACTGTCTGCTGTGTTCTCGGCACCCCCAGCCATTCCCCACTACTTTTCCATCTGGTGAATCTAGTCAGCCTATCTAGAGGTCTTTGTTTTAGGGAGGTCAGCTGTTCCTCATCTAGCAGCAATCAGTTGTCAATATGCCTTTAGATAAGATTGGGGTCTGCTGTTTATTTTCCCAGTTCTATGCTGGGTTACTATTTGGGAGTCCCTTTGGCCACCCTGGCCAACAACTCAAAAGAAGGTATCGCCT